GTTTTTTCTTGAGTTGTGATCCTTGGTTCTTGCAGAATTTCTTAACCGAGTTCAACCATGACACTGTTGATGTTCCTGTTGTGGCAGCATTTGACTTTGTGAAGTTAAGATCATTGCGTTTTCTATCTACCAGGACCCTCCAAGGGGTGCCCTGTCTGGAAGCCTATAGGTAGTGTGGGGTAGTCCAGTCAGGACACCCCTTTGAGGGTCCTGGTATGTTTGTTTCTCTTTTACTTGGCGTGATATCCTGAGGTCTCGAAGCAGCTGAGATGTTCAGATAGACAACCTGTGACCGTTAATATCGTGTTCCTGTGCTGAACTGGTGGCCTGTGACTTTCTGAAATAAAGTTGATATGTCGTTCATATATATATATATATTTCTTTTCTCTCTCTCTCTCTCTAGGTCTATTTTGGTTTGCTTGATTTGTGATATGTAACTCTTAAAAACTTGCTCCGCCAAATTTGAGCGATGACGATGACCTTCACCCCCCCACCCGCTAATTATTCAATTAACTTATTCCAAAACATATTCCATGAACCCACAAACATCTGGAATCACTAATTAAGGCACTATGTATGGATTTTGCCTCAAAGGAGGTTCAAAAACGTCAGTACTTACAGTGTGTTTTGTTCGGTAAAGACAAGTCGCATCGGTCGCATTGGTCGCCTTCGGGCCTTGTCTGGGTTCACATGGGCCCTGTTACACAATCAATCCTGAAACTGCTTGGGGTCTATATGGTCCATGTACAGTAACTAAAAAAAGAACTCTAAAACAAGACCAATAGCAAAAGGATGCAAAAGCTACCTAGCAGCGATGGCCTCCAACCTAGTAGCGATGGCGTCAACCTAGGAGCGATTAGCTTCCAACCATTTCCAACCTAATTACTTCGCGTTTTGAACAGCTGTAACAGATTCGTTGGAAGCCTCACGAAACATTGGCCTTGTCTCATGCTGCTTCCCCTGCCGATGAGTTTTCCCTCCAAGACCCTCCGGCATGAAAACCGCGCAGCCTCGTGGCAATGGTGGCCTCGGAGCAGCGAGGCAAACTGACCTGGGTGACCTTTCAGAGCCCTTTGAATGCCTGGAAGGTGGACCATGCCACAGAGTCATGTCGCTTTTCAATGCTTTTCATTGTTTTTTCGATCTGGAGGCTCCGATGCAACTGATATGGTAGAGAGAATGGCGTAATTGGCACCCTCCAGAAAAAAAACACCACATCTCCTACTAAGGTTGAGCCGACCTTCGAGCCTTTGATTTTGGATTCAGGAGGCTCCGAGTTGAGATGTTTTGAAAGGTTGATGATGCCAGTACAAATGTGTCAACATCCCAGATTGAAGAGGTAAGTTCAATTGTTTTAGCGAAAGGATAAGACTCAGTCAATCGAACCCATTTTCAGGGCAAGTCCTGGCTATTCCAAGCCCTGCGGTGCAGTCTGTCTCGTCTGTCTCGAGCGGTGCAGAGTCTTCACGCGCAGAGGCGCAGAAAACGGGGAAAGGCTATACTAAATGAAAGATCCAGACGCGACCCATCCGACCCTCCGTTCAGTGCCGTTCGGCTCATCGTCCGGACCCATCACTCGATGTGAACATGGCCGGTCGGGCGGTTTTTCTTCGTTTGCAAATGAAAGAGATACACTCCCTGGTCATGGTCATGGTGACGTTTAAAAGAATGCCTTGAATATGGCCCACCAAAATGGCCCCTTGGATTTGGATAACCATGTTTTCATCAGACCAAACCAGGTGGTGGTCTTCGGTATGATTTCTTCCAGGGCACTGTGAAAGAACCCTCCTTTTCCTGAACAAATTATCCTCGACCTCCCGAGACTCGACCTGCAGAAAAAAACGCATCGCTCACCAGGCGACAGTTGCTTTGAAGCCTTGCCACTCCTAGCGATGCGGCAAATCAATTGGGGCTTTCCAGACCGGAGGACGAATGAATTTCACCCCGAAGACTAACATGGACCCTTTGGTCTTGACCCCCTAGAAGAAGATGGTTTTCCTTCAGAAACCAGTGGTCTTGTGTGGTTTTCAGGCTCCATCTTATAGTCTTTTCAGGGGTCCATGAGTTCGGTGTGGGGTCGGTCCGCTGGACTCACCGGTTGGGCTCGGTTTGGACCCACCTTCCATGGACGCCAAACATGGTTCAATGAATTCTATATTGTGGTCCTGTTCAATGGTTCCTGTTCAACGGTTCCTTAGGGAAACAGGATTCCATACAGAAGACGCAATGGTTCGGCAACGACCCCCCTGGAAGAAGGACAATAGACCAGTCCACCCATCCAAAACCTATTAGGCCATTGGGTCTCCCACCCTTACCCACCCCCAGGAACTTTGGAACATCGAAAAGTCCCATGAACAACGTGATGAATATCCTAGGCTCATCCTTGTGAAAAAGGCGAATGCAAACACGAAAGGATTGGATGGTCGTTCGACCCGTTTCGGCGCATGCGAAACTGTGGTCGTTCGATCCTGGTACGTGATGAATATCCTAAGCAGCGAGCCCGTCATCGAATGAATATCCTTTCTCCGACTCATCTTCACGTGGATCTGGACCAACATGGCATGGAATGACGGTCAGTTGTCCTCACATAACCAAGGGAGTTGTCCAGCAAAACCCATAGCATTTTGACATATTTTGACAATATTTGACTCTGTAGGCTTATTTTTTGCCAAAACCATCCTCTAAACCATGATAACTCATGATATGATGTGTGAACATGTGTGAACATGTCTAACTCATGGATTCGCCATCTGGGCGCCCTCGGTGTTGTTCATGTCTGTCTTCTTTCGGCTTTGTTTGCATTCACCTCCCTCGACCAAAAACTCACGCCCAACGCCTCGAGGAAACGTGAGGCGCTTTCAGCCTGGGTGGACTGGTCCGGTCGGGGTGGACGAGGACATCCTGATGTCGACACTCTGAGAAGGTATCTTTTCTGCAAACGGCAAAACCTACGGTTTTCGTTTGATTGGGGCCACAGAGGTTTGTTCAAAAGTCATTTGAATCTTGGATCCATTCGAACCTCTCAACTGTTTACATTCTTCTGGAATTTGCGTGTATACATTCATTCAAGTGTTTGCAACAATTTGTATTATATATATATATACTTTTGTTTGAACAAGCACGGATCTTTGAATTCTGCACAACCAGGCGATTCATACAACTTCTAACCCTGCTGGTTCCTTTTGGTCTTGGGTCCGACTCCACCAACCTGTTTGGACCGCCGCAGCCGGACCCCGCAGGTAAACCTGGTCCAAACTCACAAAACAGGCCACGATTCCTTCATGGTTAACTTCCAATCAACCCCCCAAACCACTTTCTCTACATCACATTGACATTGACCCAGTGGCTTGGGTCTCACCCAAACACTCCACCACTTCCAATCCAACGTTGGGAGTCCTGACTGCTGCCGCTTCACAGCTGCAAGAGCATAACTTCCCCCCTGGACCGGCGGGGAAATGCGGGACCGCATAGGTCTGGGGTTTGATGCCAACTCCTAGAGACAAAGGGGCCCCTTCTCTGACTGGTGCTTAGCAAGGAACGAGTGAAGGTTCATTCCCTTCTTCCCTACTAAGCACCAGTCAGTTCTCGGATCTGGTGGAACATGGTTCAAGGAGTAGGTGATGAGTATAAACGTAGGTGAACCCTTTCCGTAAAAAAGACGTGGATGCGGAAACTCTGTTCATGAACACTTGGAATTGTGATGACTTGCGCAATGCATGGACCTCAAGACATGTCTGTCGTCAAATCTTGTGGAGGTTGAGGGAGCAAACACATGGCCATTTTGAAGAGATGCTGGTATAAAGGCAATCCGCACCTGCGATAGCATACCCGTGCCTCCAACAACAACACAAACTGCATATCACTGTGCATGTGTATTAGAAAAGGGAGGCTGCCATTTCGACCCCCTAGTCGAAGGGATAGCCCAGGAATTGTTGGGGCGCAGTCTCCCACAAGTCCGTGCATCCAAATGGGGAGGTTTATGATGGTTTATGACTCAAAATCCAATTTCATTCATCACAAAAGACTCTGCGGGCAGCTTCCAAGACAATTGGAAAGTAGGATCGCTGCGCAAGCCCAGTATCAAACCTTAACCAAAACAATCTAAATACATAAAACTATCACTGTCAATTTTATTGTGAATGTCGATGATGCTGATGAGAGCATCATGCTTTGTCAGCATCATCAGAACAAAAAATCACATAGGCTTCATTCACCCTCAGCGTGAGCAGCTCTTTTCGTCTGCATGGTATTTCTTCCGATCGTGCGCGACACACGCGCGGAGACCGGCTTTTCGTTAAGGATTCTTCAGGGCCCCACCCGACTGGACACCAAAATCATGCAAGAAGGAGAGATCACCCAAGGTGGCGGTCGTTTTGCAACTGTTTGATACTACTTGCACTTGAGCAAGGCTGTTCAGCGTGGGGAGGCCACTTTCGGTCCAGAAGGGCCGGATCAGACGGACAGGCTGGCTTGGCTCCAGCCACAGTAGTTTAAGAGCCAAAGCAATGGGAAGGCCTCGGCTGCTTGCCTTGCCACTGTGGGAACCAACATGATCAAAAAACAGCCACGCTTCAACGACACGTTCTTGTTGATCCTTTTTGAAGTTCACGAGTTTGAAGAGAAAATGAAACAGCAAGAAGATCAAGTCCATTGCACATTTTACAGCAGGGTGAAGCTCAGAATGTCTTGGAGGCACTCAACATCTTGGGGACTGGAAGTATTTTGGAGTCCTCGGAGCCTTCAACAGCCAATCTGGGACATTTGAAAGCGATTTTCACGCGTGTGGAAGGGTCTAGTGGTTCCTTTCTTTTTCCACTCCCTCATGAGCCTCTCATCACATTAGGTAGGTTTACCTCCAGCGAGTAGAAAAGACCCCTCTGAATCCCTCTGACTTTCTTTCAAGAACCAGGCTCATTCAAATTCGAGGAGACAGTATGTTGGAGATCCTGGACATCTATCATGAGCGTCAACCGAGCGTCAACGGGGCTGGAATTTGTTCATCAGAAGACAACCTCACCATGTACAAAGCTTCGTAGATTCTGAGACTCTCTGGAGACAAATCTTAACTATTTCAACTTTCTCAATCTGCCTCTCTGGCTGACACCGAGCAACCAACAGGAGGAAAAGGATCAGGTTGCCTCCGTTCCAAATCCTTGGATTCAGCACAATGCATCTAGACGACCTTCATGTGCCACGTGCTCTGGCGTGGTTCGACCCACTCTTCTTGAAAGAGCCCATGGATCGTGCGAGGCGACCTCCAGTCCCGGTGGTACCTCCAGTCCCTGTGGCCAGGCGACCAAAGCATCCAGGGCAAATAGCTCGAAGCCTTGGCACCATCATATCTCCGAATCCACGCCACCTTCACATCGCGGAAGGACTCGTAGCACAAGTTGATGTTCAAATAGCCTGCAGAGCTTGGAACAGAGCTTGGGTAATGGTTCAGATGGCCAAACCACCAAAGAACCTTCGCAAAAAGAACATAGAGAGATTTGGGCCGTTCTGTTTTCAATTTTCGTGAGTCCTGAGATGATTTCCATGTCCACTGGTTGTAGATCATGCCGGCATACCCTCCTACCATCTAGAGGTCACAAAACCCACGGAGTAAGATTTAGACCTTTTGGGAGTGTCTGAAGTTGTCGTGCCATTGCTCTGTTGCATTTCACTTCGCACCCACTCGTAGTCTCATAGTGGATGAAGATGATTTTGACAACCCATCGTCAAAATGGTCGTGACAAAATGATGACAAATGCTTATAAGCACTTCTGTGAAGCTGCTAACATCTAGTAACTGCCCACAAACTTTGTAGAAAAGGAGGTGGCAGTGGATCCTTTCTGGCCTCCAAGCTATAATCAAAGATCCCTCACCTCACTGCATGCCAAAGACACACAGCTCTTTACCATGTTGAATCTCAATTGGTGTGGTGTAGCGGCAAATCGCCTGACCGCCCACGTCGGTCTGATGTCGTGGAACTGACGATCTGCCCCGAAACGAGCGGAGACCTTCCATGTCGGTCCACTTCCGTGTTTGAAACAGTGAAGTCTGGGGCCTCCATATATGGTTGAAGTCCTGGCGACCTTTCGGTTCGGGCTCCAGGTCACAGGCTCCAGTTCGGTAGGCTTCAGTCCGGGCTTTCCTCCATTCGGTTCCTTCGAAGCCGAGAGAGTCAGGACTCGGTCGCTGTCCGGAGCCCGAGGAATTCCGCTCTGAAGACTTCGGAGGCGAGTTCTCCATGAGTCCGGGTTGTCCCGTGGGGGGGGGGGCACCCAGACCTTGGATCTTCGCGGCCGAGACCGAGAACGATTCTTTTCGAGGACCCAGCCGGTCTTTCGGGTTCGGTTCGGATCTTCAACCCGGCTCCTTCGATCAGATCGGTGATCGACAAAGAGTCTGTTTTAGGGTCAAAGACTCCAAAGGGGTGGAATGTGTTGTGGTTGGAGAGTTTACACATTTGATCGACTCCAACTCAGAAAGATACAACTGGAAGAAAGCCAATGTGTATAGAGGCCCAACAGTCTTTCATCTATAGAGCCAAAGAGTCCACTTTCAGCCACTTCCATCTTTTGGAGTCGAAAACGAACATCGATCCAGACTTGAACCCACGACTGCCTGACAGACCACTGTCTGCGCCAGTGCCACCAGAAAGCCACGCAGAATGGGTAAACCTTTCGCGACGTCCAAGCGGTCTGAGAGGTCCATACCAAGCGGATGCTGGAGGTAGTTGAGCGTTGTTAAAAACCTGTGTTTGGAGCAAAGGGTCGTAAGGAGGCGCTTACGCAAATGTTTGAGCTTTCCTTACGCGACTCACATTTCAGCTTGCGCGCCATGCAGGGGACATGAAGTGCTTACTCGGAGCTTACGCAAACAAATCCGGACAAACTTTCTCCACCACACCACAACATAAGCTTACGCACTTGACTTTTTGCATCTTTTTACTTGGAGAAGTGAAGCTTACGCACTTAGCATACGCAAGTGCTATAGCCAGAAACTGCTTACGCAACCTTACACAAATCAGGTTTTGGCTTAGGCGCAGTGTCCTTATGACCATGTCCTTACTAAATATGAACACCTAGGTTTTGAACGATGTACCAATGCTCAGCTTACCCAAAAGAAACATCAAAGAGCAGCCGAGCCCCTGACATCCACGGTCAGTTACCGAGGGGACCATCTCTTGAACGGTTCTCGACTTGGGGAACATCCAGATCGATATGAATCTGTTTAGATCCAAAAAATCTCGTCAAAAAGGGCAACCAACATGGTCGCATCCAACATGATACACTCTTCATGACTATCAGCTATACAGCCAAACTCTTCAGTGCCAAGAGGCTTTGACCCTGGCTGCCCACACAGATCACCTGGGAATGGCAACAAAGATTCTTTGAGAATACTCTACCAGTAGTGTGGGGAGAAGTTCGTGGAGACCGAAGCGCCAAGACGATTCGGAGTTCGGTGGTCCCTTTGATTCTATTTCTCTATGAAAATCCTTTCAGGTGAGGCGATAGTGTCTGATCATCATACCCATATCATCCCAGATCTATTCCTCTTGGCCAGGATGATGGCCTATACTAATCTGGTACTAATGAGGTCACAGCTCGGGGTTGATGAGTTTCCTTTCTGGTCAGGATTGAAATGGCTGCGTCTCAAGACAGGACACCTTGCTTGACCCGTTCAACGTGACGCTTCCCACAGCCCTTCACCTTTCGGTGGGTCCCGGGGAGTACTACGTGAGACCGAAGGTCCGCGCAGCCTCTATGTGGCAGCATGGTGATCACGGAAGGGCTATCTATCACTGAACTCATTTGGTGCTGGGGGTATCGGCACGGAGGTCAAATCACCATTTCTAGCCCACATTTTACGTAAATTACGTCGATATCAGAAGCACTGCTCATATGTTAGCGAGATAGCTTCAACCACGGAGAAAATAGGCCGAACTTGAGGCCAGGGGGAGGAGGTCGAAAGCTAGCCGAATCGCACCGGATGTACTAGTTACATCGTCGGCAAAGCATGTAGTGATTACATGTTTTGGGAGAAAGGTTGCTACGTACATACTTTGCGCTAAAGAATGTAAATGTGACATCGCCGACTGGGAAGGGTACATTGGAACAACACGGGTGCACTCGTTGGCAGGCACGAAGATGCGTGATCGGCAAACCTGGATGGTTAAACTTACCCCCCGCTTTTGTACGCCTTGAGTCGGAAAGAGGGGTAAGCACTTCTGACATCACACGGACTGTCCATACACTAGGGCGTCCGTAGTGTAGGAAAAGCACGGGTAAAAGGTATATGGAATAAAGTGTCTTGAGGAAATAGCCGGCTTATGGTTATTGCAAATCTGGGGGTTAAATTTATCCCCCGCTTATGTATGCCTTGTGCCGGAAAGAGGGGTAAGCATTTCTGGCATCACAAGGACTGTGCATACACTAGGGCGTCCGCAGTGTAGGATAAGCACTGGTACAAGGTATAAGGAGTAGAGTGTCTTGAGGAAATAGCCGGCTTATGGTTATGGCAAATCTGGGGGGTAAATTTACCCCCCGCTTATGTATGCCTTGAGCCGGAACGAGGGGTAAGCATCACAAGGACTGTGCATACACTAGGGCGTCCGTAGTGTAGGATAAGCACTGGTAAAAGGTATCGGGAATAGAGTGTCTTGAGGAAATAGCCGGTGTATGGTTATAGCAAACCTGGGTGGTAAATTCACCACCCGAAAGAAATAGGGATAAAGAACTTGTAACAGTGAAGTACAAGTCCTATGCAGCAAGCAGCAGCCAGCAGCAGCAGCAGCCGCCAGCAGCCAGCAGCAACCACCAACCAACAGCCAGCCAGCAGTACCACGCAGCAGCAGCGCAGCACCAAGCCGCAGTAGCAGAGCAGCAAGCAGCAAGCAGCAGCAACAGCGGCGTCGTCAGCAACAGCAGCAGCAGCACCAAGCCGCAACAAGTAGCAAAGCAGCAGCTACAAAAGCGGCAGCCAGCGGCAGCAGCAAACAGCAGCAGCAAGCAGCAGAGCGGCAGCAGCAGCACCGTTTACACCAAGCCACCGTTTACACCCAACCAACCGCGTTCACACGTTCAACCAACCCCCGCTACACGGCGCAACTGGGTGTCGAACCGTGGGGGGGGGTTAGTGTGATATATGAAGCTTTAAGGCACGCAGCTCATTCCACTACCAATTGCTAAAGCAAAGAAGAACTGAGCTAGAATGCTAGCTTTCGTGATTTTGCCAAACCACACATGTCCAAGACAGTAAATTCAAGCACTTTGCTCTCAGGTAATGAAGATTCATCAACTGACGAGGCGCAGCCGGAATGTTATGTGATGTGATGCATCCACAAGACAAAAACGAGCAAATGATCATGCTTCCGACGAAGCTGACCATGCTTCCGACAAAGCTCGTCAATGAATCCTAAATACAAACACTAGATCGAGTGGATGTTTTGCAAAAACGCAGGCAAAATCCCATGAGTGTCATCTTGATTCTCCAATAATAACATGTGTTTCCGCTATCCAAGATCATCCAAAATTCAAGTGCATGATGTCTTTGACATCCTGGTTTTGAACGCGCACCCCAAAATCCAAAATACCAAACAAAACACCAACAATTTCCAACATGTAACAACACCTCCACTAATGCCAAAACGCCTGCAGCTGGGAGTTGAACCGCGGGGAGGGGGGGGGTCCTTAGCGTGATATATCACGCTAGAGTGGGGGGGCCAGGCCCCCCCCCTTAGTGTGATATATCAAGCTTTAGGGCACGCAGCTCATTCCACTACCCATTGCTAAAGCAAAGAAGAACTCAGCTAGCATGCTAGCTTTCGTGACATGCATCAGAGGCACTAGACCGTCGGGATGAAATTGCGGCTTAGATTTGAGGTCCGAGACATATTGATGAATCGTTTGTTGAGCTTCAACGGGATTGGGGATCTGTGGTCTTGTGGCGAATCGCCCCGTATAGGTGCGACCCCATCCAGTCTGAGTAAGTCTGTTGGAACCTGTTTTAGAATGCATAGGGCCAAGTGGTTCACTGGAAACACCCTGCAAGTACAAAACGATGATCCGGAAGGGTCCTGACTGCTTGCGAAGGGATCGTTTGGTCAGTGGCAGGGCTAGCACCTTAGGGTCCTGCCAATGATGTGGACGAGCCCGTTGGTTTTGCTTAAGACGAATCCATGTGGGAAAATGAAGTCCCGTGTTCACAATCAAGGCTATTGTTAGTTCGTGCCAAGTGATACCTGCATTGGCAACTGCGTCAGTAGTTGCAGCGGCTGGATCAGGCCAGACCAGTGAGGAAGGTCAGCATAGACATGCGACAATGAAGGTGGGGTGTATATCAGGGCGAAACACTAGCACCGGACCGGGAGGAACTTGATTTCTCTTAAGATGAAACAGTGTGAACAGTGTTCCCCGATCTTGTGCGGGGTCATGTGTCTGGGAGTCCCAATTTCTCTGCTGACTTTGCTGCTTCAAGAGAGCGCGTTCCATATTATATAAGATCTGCTAAATATTTCAAGATGACACGAGTTTGCGTCAGTTGGTCAGCGTGCCAAATCTGTGCGCTGTGGACAAATTCCTGAATGCGGGTGTTGTCTGTTTTACGTGCACGAAGGCTGCCATATCGGCCCACATATTACCTATGGCACCGTCTCGACCAACCCCCGGCGGCAATTGGTGCAAGTTTTGGTGAGCTCGGACTTTATGAAGCTGAAAGCGATGAGGGGTCCAACATTACTGTATTATTTGAAGTAAATCTGCGTTGCCCAATCGGTGCCATGATTGAGGGAGAGATGTCTGGACCACCTGATGAATTGTGTTGATCACATTTTGGGAGTCGGTTGTGATAACAACCTGTTGAGACCAATTAGAAGTGGTAGCGTGTTGCAGAATCCGTGCGACAGCCGCCAGTTCAGCACGAGATATGGACTGTCGACCAGAGACATGCTGAATTTTAATGGTAAGATATTGGGATGTCTCGGCTGGAGGGGCAAACTGAATGACGGACCAAGCAGCTCTACGTGTCTCTGAGCTAACAGGAGTATCTGCAGAGCCATCAGTATAGAAAAACAAGACATTCTGATCCAGGCGGATGAATGGTCAGAAGACTGTCTCCGATGATCCATTAATTGTTGCAACACTTCAATATCAGGAAACGACCATGGCAGTGGAAGCCACAGTTTAGCAGGGCAACGTTGGAGGAATGAAATGAAATGTGGATGGCGCTGGCGAACAGCCAAGAAATTTTGGCATTCTAACTGTCGGTGAGAGTGAGTGTCGAGCTGCCCACAATGGGGGTGGCTTTGACAGCTGCAACCTGGTAACCTCCGGTCAATCGTAAGCAATTTGCTTAAGTTCTGTGACAAACATGCTCTGAAGAGCTCGATACAGAATGGGAAAATCGAATGGATGAGTATCAACTCCTTTGCGGTGGGAAATTTGTCTTTGAAGGTAATACGCCCAGGCTGGTCGAAGATTGACCGCATATCTTTTAGAGAGTCAAAGCGCACAGAAAGTAAATAGCCATCTAGGCTAACTATACCATTAGCTGAGAAGGACCACCCCACGAGATTGAGGTATCGTGCACCCGCAGGACCAACAGCAGAACCGGTGTGGGAGATAACGGCCCGTAAAAATTCCTGTGCCAAAGCATTGCTGGTATGGCATAGTCGACGAAGGAAGGATATGGCAGTCGACAAGACATATAGCAACGGGTCCTGAAGTACGGGACAGAGGGCATGCATGGCAAGCCAACTGGAGGGCCGAAGCCGCTTCTCTGCGGAGAGATCGAAAAATGTTTTTCGTACAATCTATGTTTCCGCCCCAAAACAGCGTGAGGCCATATGGCCGTCTGGATAAGCTTGGCCTTTTGAGGTATGTCTGTCTTAATGTAACGCAGGCGTTTACATCGTTGGACTGCACTAGCGATCTTATCTTTAATCGAATCAATATACAGTAACAAACTCACGTTTCAATAATTTTACTTAATCACGAGGATCAATTCGGGAAGTACAACTCTTCTAAATTCAAAAATTCTCGTGAGCGTTCGCGAACGACGCTTGCGTTCGGGAACTTCCGAAGAAGTTCATCCTTAATCACCAACAACCAAGGTTGTGTGAAATTCGAATCATCATATAATCCATCAATGCGGCCCAAGGTAATACCAACTTCATGTTCCAACAGCAAAGGATCTTCGATCAAACTCGCATGCTCCCGGAGCAGTAGATGCTCTAAAACTTAACTGTAGGCCTGAAATGCCATGAAAGCGAAGAACTTCGCCTCGATGAGCTAGTTTGCTTTTCGGTGGTAATGCCGGTGCCGTGGAAAACATGCTGTACATAGGTAAACATATTTAACATATATGTCAAAAGCAACTCTGAATGATCCGTCTCAAACGGAATAAACCGTCATCTCCTCCGACCAATGGTGTGCTTAAACACGCGCCAAGTATGTACTCGGTGACAGCATAACGCATACGCTGTACAATGGAATCAACGCGGGCAAATGGTGAAGTCTCTCCTTGATCAACACATTGGGTGTGACCATGTTGCCATCTCCATCACGCCAGAGGTTCTCCGCGGCGCTGTTGGTTGTCCGCCTGCCATCGTGCGTGGGTCCCACTGTCAAGCTTAGTTCTGCACGACCGTGGCACTGGTCGGCCTTCCGGACCCTCTGGGCATGGCTTGCCCGCCCGAATGCAATCCGGCTCCTGCCAGTTTGGCGGCAGCACTTCCTCGATGGAGTCATGCTCAAGGCACAATGTGAGCATGTCCGTGCCGTAGACTTGGCCCCACTTCAGGGGCCACCCCAGGCTGCTGTGGGGGAAAGCACTCCAAGCCACGTCCGTCCACCAAACACGCGGACGTTTCACCAGGCCGAAATCGGCAGCATCCACTGTCACTCCGCCGACCCCGCATTCGGCATCGAAATGCCTCAGGTCTGCCTTTCTGGAGACTATAATGTTCTCGAAGAGACGGAGCACCTGGCGGTCTCCGAACAAGTACTTCTCATCACTGACCCAGCTCTGGCGTTCCAATCGGTCAGTGTCCCTACTCACACGTCTCGTGTGCTCCAATACAACACTAAATACGCGAAGATCTTCTCAAACGGGCTGACGCCACGAAAGTAATATTCGGTTTCGCCATGGTCGTCTGTCATTTCACGCATCCTTACATGACCCACCTGAAAGGTCGTTCCTTACATGGTGGACCAGGGCTCCAGGTTTTTGACCCCCTCCATCCATCCCCAAATTCCTTAACCTTCTATGCCTCGCCAACCTCCCAATCATCAAACATCCACAAACAAACCTCCCAGCCCAGACACTCTGGGTCGAGCCCAACTTCGTCCAAGGAACGAGCGGTTCAAAAAGCACGTGGTGAATGCAGCTGATGCGTCGCGAGAGCCTTCGACCCACGTGACCCGCCGGGTGGAGGGACGGGGCTTGGAGAGGATCAGGGGGAGGGAAGGTTCGCTTGGATCCCTGCAGTGGAAGGTGTGAGACACCTCTGAATGACTCTAAATATCAAAAGAGTGTGAGAATCCCCAAGGGTTGAGGAGGGTCTCTCCTCCAAGCCTCCTCCAGTGTTGATGTTCCACATGACAAAGATTTGTGCTCTACATTCCCAGTTGAAAAAGAAACTCCTAGGCTGGTGTAGGTCTCCTGGAAAAAGAGACAACATCTTGGTTTGGGGAGGTTGCTGGAAGGTTTCTGGGGGGATTGCTTGCAGCCTGCAGCTTCGCCAAGCGGCCTCGGGCTTGGTTGTTCTGTTCCCCCTCCCGTTGGGTTTGGACGGTCGTGGGTTCCCGAAGACGGGAGGAGTACCTGCAGTACTACTCCCCTTCCAAATGAACATGGACCCCCCCCAAACCACTGGTTTGTAGAGGAAAATGATCTGAACAACGGGTCAATGCTCAGTTTGCGGGGTGAATGCTCGTGACGAGCTCATGACGTCGTCCGAACTCGTCCAGGCGGAGCACAGGATCGGTCATCACCATCGATCAATGGTGGCGGGTCTCAACACAGGGAGTCCACGAAACACTGCTAAGTATAAGGGGAAACACACATAGACATACAGATGGTATGATGATGTATTCGTAACGTACATCCATAGACATCCTGGCTATATGCATGTTTTGTTGTTTTTCTCTTCCCGTGCCAGTCAAACGGCCACTCTCCGAGGTGCGGGGTGCTGGGCCACAGGAGGTAGCCCACGACTTTCAACGGAAGCTTCCCGGTCAAAAGGTAGCCTCAGTGGCAACTTGGTGGGGTACATGGTGCAGTTTCACGTTGTTTCCTGGTTTCAAGGAGATCTGCGGCTCCACTGGCTGAGTTTCCAGCATCCCTGTGTTTTCTGTCAAATACCTTGCTGGCACGTTCATGGATTCCACTGTGTTAAGGTCCTTCTGTCAACATATCTGGTCCCTCCCGTCGACCCACCCAGGTTGGTCCGTGCAAACAAGGTCGAACGAAGCCTGCATCGAAGAGGCCCAGAAGATCCACATACCAAAGAACCTGGTCGATGGCCACCAGAATCCTCGTGACCGCGGGGAGATGACCGCGGTGCGGTGGAGATGTTGCAGATGATTGGGTCGAATTCAGAGGTCAAAGCCTAGCCTAGCATCTAGTCTATGTGTGCAATATGTGGGTTCTTGAAAGATGATCAATCCACAAAGCTATTTGTTGGAAAATGATTGACACTATCACCACAAAACATAATATTTGAGGGTGATTGCGAAGATGTGTGTCTGCCCCTCTGGATGCAATGCCAAGCTCATGAGGTTGGTGAGCGCCTCCTCGAGATTCGTCACTCCCTTAGGATTCAAACACCTTCCAAACTATCACTGCCATAGTGGGGGTGTCATGCTCCGCACCTGAGAAGGGCCAAGCGAAAGCCAGGAACCAGGAGCCTTTTCGGCCACGCCATATCAAGAGTTAGGATGGAGATCTAGCGGTTTGAGATCTGGCCATCTCCATATGGTGGGTGGGTTTTTCCGTATTCTCTCCATCTCTCTCTGTCTCCCCTTGCAGAGAGCTAGACATCGTTTGCATCTGCAATGCAGTGGTGGAGCAGGATGAGCCTTATGGCGTGGTTTCCTCCACCATGATCCAGAACAGAAGGCCACGCGCCCGGAATCATGATCCCACAGGGACTTGACCCGTCGCGCAGATGAAAAGACTCAAAGCATCGGCGATTCTGGAGATGAGAGCGGTGGGCTTCCCGGATCTGATGAATCGGTGGGGCGATGAGGGAACCGGACCTGAAGAACCTTGCCCCGGCCTATCGATTTGGTGGCAACCTGTAGCTGTCAGCGAACCTTGCAAAACAACCCTGAACATCCCTGAGCACTATCCTACACGTAATTAAGACCTCGGTGTCCACTGCTAGAATAGCAAGGTTTGACTGGGAATGGTATGACCTTGGGAGAAGAGCTTTAACCAACAACAACAACAACAACAACAGCACATGACAAAATACCAGCGCTCTTCAAGAGGAAACAACCCCTCTTTCCGGCCAAAGCCTTGTGGAATCTGCTGCCTGAAGATGAAGACCCGAAGATCTTCAGACACGCCCAACAGGGGGATGGGTCGTGACCCACCATGTTCGCCCGACCCATCCACCATTTGCCGCGAACGACTGATCTTCCAGGTATAGGTTGTGCCCAGGTATAGCATCGAGGTGACATGAACCAGGAGCGCCCCGTTCGGTTCGCGTCCGATCGCTCCGTTCGAGTCGCGATGCCCGAAATGCTCCGTTCGTAGCGTCCTCTTGTTCCTAGTAGTAAGGTCAGGAGCCCCGATCGTAGCCTTCTTGCTCCTAGTACAAACGGATCCTTGCCCAGACTCCCCTGGGCACACAGCAAGATAGGCTTCCTCCAGTAGATCGCCTCGAAAAGGGACGACACGTCGCGATCTGCTGGGCACAACAAGGGTTTCTAGGATTGAACAAAACGGGCCCAAATAAACTCACTCAGAGTCTTCCCAACCCATTCTCCACTGATGTGTTTCCCTTCAGAAAAGATATGAACAGATTGTACAGTTACTACAATAAAATATGCGGACTTTTAAATAGCCGAACAGGTATTTTAGTGTACCTCCATGAAGGATCTGCTGGGACCGTATGTCTGGTTTTTGCCCATTGAATACACCGAAACCAAAGGACCAGCCATGCCATTGTAACTCGCAGAATCCCACCGCCATGCCGCGCGGACCCAGCAACCGATGAGAATAGTTGACCACTTGAAGATTTGACAGTGATTCCAAGGGCTTCTAGATCTTTTGAGACGGATTCGAGTGGATTTGGGTTGAGACTTTCTGATGGACCTCTAATTTCTCGGTGGGTTATATCCGGCAAGTGAGCCAAGACCGCGTTAACACATAGCACAAATTCAAGGTGCTTTGCCACAGCGTTCGCGGAAAAACACGGTGCTTTGCCACACTGCAGGTTTGAATCTCCAGATCCGAGGCACTGCAGCTGCCACGGGCATCGAAAAGTTGCAGGAAAACATCAACCTTGCTGAGGAAACGAATCCACTCTTTAAGGCATAACAAACTGCTGAAAGACTAGAGTAGCCTGAGCAATTGAGAGCTTGACTGGAGCTTGGCAATACAGCGACACCACTATTGGGCTTGCACAACAGTGCTCAGAGTCTCATTAACACACAACACCATGTCAAGGTGTAGACTCTCTACTAAATTGATCTAAATTGTATTGATCTATTTCTTGGGTCCATGACGACCCATGATATTTGTGTACTTTTCTATCTCACACCATCCCAATCTCAATCAATGTCACCATGTTTCAGCAATATATGTATATATACATAGACATAGATACATCTAGACTTCTCACCTCCTACTGTCCTACATGGCTAGACTGCTCACGTCCGGCCGACGATGGGCCGTGAGGCTGGTAGACATCTTGCGCGACGCTGGCCGTCTCACAGCCTGTGGAGCGAGCTGCCGCAGCTAGAAATGGGACCATTAGTTGACAAGGAATGATGTTGTCCCATTGAAATTGAACGTACCATGTAGCATTCAAACACCTCTACCATCATCTACCAAAAAATACCCTGGAAATGAAGCTTCTCCCTGGGACAAGTAGGCCAGCAATAATTTCATTCACACAAACATCATGCCAACGCCGAGCCGGGACCATCACGGGCCTCGAAACAGGAGGAACACTTGAAACAGCTGAGGTCCCAGCGAAGTCGCAGGATCACGAGCCAACCTGAGGGGCGGGAGAGTTTTGATCTTTGAGAGCTGAACGATGTGCGATTTACACATTTCTTGGATCATTGATATAGGCTGTTTTGCCCTACATGATTGTTGCATATTGGATCATATTTCTACTACATATTCTATTGTATTGTTTTGGAAAGCAATCCAAGAAAATGTTTGCTTTATCTCTTTTGCGAGTCATGACCGTCCACAAACAATTGAGAGAGAACAGGTTCCAATGATATATTTTCTATTGATGTCTATCGCATGTTTGCCAATATATGCTTACGTTGAACCCAAAAATGGCCTGATGGCTCCATTCGTCCCGCCTCCATCCTCCGGAGCACTGGGACCCACCGTATTGATGGTTGTTCTTCTGGGGGTCCAAGTGGAGCAGGATTTCTTACATCAGCCATGATGTCCGATAGAGGTGTTGATGCCAAGTGCCGCTTGGGTGTTCACGACCGGGGTATCCCCTCTCTCAACCAACCAAGCAAAAGTCAAAGGCCATCTATGACATCAATAGTATCACCACACTTTGACAATTGTTTATCCGTGGATCTGCAGCTATGGATCAAGAATGATAAACGCAAAAACTCACCAAAGGACACTGAAATGGCGCCACCACTCGGAAATTCCAAAGTTTTTTGAGTATATCCCACTACCAGAGCTCAGTGGATGAGGATGGTTCAGTTGTAGGCCGAATCTCAAAACAAATAAGAATCTTTCACCGGCTGTTCGTCTTGACCAGTCGGTGACACACCCAACCAAAATCACTTGCAATCCCAAGGTACTCCAGTATCCCAGCAGCGCATACGCTGCCCAAGCACTGGGAGGTAGCTCTTCCTCTCGCGCCAGCAACCGGTCGATGCCTTGGAGGTAGTGTACAGGAGGAGGATAGGAGGGTTCAGCAGGCTGAGTTGGGGTATGTTGGGGTAAACAAACCCTCAGAGGGAACCTTGTGGTGTGCCTTGATTATTCTTTTCGACCTTCCGCATGTTATTTGTTTACTCTGTCTCCTGACCACCAAGAAACTTTGTACTCGAGACTTCCTTGACCACATTGTTTGCGGGATTTTCTTAGCTTTGCCGATGAGTTATTTCTTAAAGGATTAACAATTTGCCATACAACAAATATCTTCAAAGGACTACTGGTGGCAACTGAACATTACTGAAAATCAATTACCTACAGATCTGAATGATCATACTGCTATCATACCTGATCATACTGTAAACACCACCTGAAAACTCTAAAAAACTGCCAACTGCCCCCCAAAATGACCCATGGACTTGATTCAAGCAACTAAATCCCACTGCCAGCATGGCAGCATAGAGGAGGCCACAAACCACCAGTGCATGTGTAGCATCTTGGTGTTTCACCTCGGAGCACTGCGCGACCGAAACCGTTCTGCAGGTGGGTTGGAGTCAATGGTGTACCAAGGAATACATACAAACATGCTCTCAGTTCTTGTGGGCTGGAGCAGTCTTGTAAGTATATAGACATGTTCAACAGGTGTTGGAAGTTTACACAGCCGACGTGAAATCGAAGATGGAACTGAAGCTACCACTCACAGTCGCCATTGTGATCTGTGAGACCTGGAGCGCTGCATACAGTATGCTTTTTGGGGTAACTGAGCAGGGCAACTTGGAAGCCCCAAATGCAGGCGTGGTCCCTGGTTCTGGCTGGAACGGCGGCACCAAATGGACCAAAGCCAAAGCATGCCAAAGCCTGATAGCCAGCAGTTTGCGTATCCCAAGCAATCAGGAAAACCGTTCTTTGCAAACTGGTGTTTTGTTCTTCATTAATCGCCTCAAGATTTGATGTCCAATCCCATGTGGAGCATGCTATGCCTGCATTCCATCCCAGGCATGTTACTGGTTTAACACCAAGTTCATCTAGTTAATCTAGTCTCACCTCCTAGCCCCAAATGCCAAAGGATCTTGCTTGGCGGCCCCCACTTATTCTCCTCAGAACGCTCCCAACGGTCCCACGCGCGTCGCGCGCGCCGTCGGTGCCGTCCCAGGTCACATCGTCCGGCTCTCCTTTCGCCAGGAACGCCGCCCATCGCTGCCAGGCAGTTGCCATCGAACGGCGTATTGAATTGGCAGGTCAGTGGGCGGAGCTGTGAAGGGTGGAACTGTCCAATGGCCACGATGGCAGGTCTCTTTGGTTACGGTGTACGTCCATCTTGTTCCAAAAAGTTGTGAAGGGCGCAACAAACCTGTTTTCTTGGCGACACCAAGGCTGGTGCGCACCAAGGCTGGTGGACATCCTCGCAAGGAATGGATTCTTCGACGCCTAACACATCCCAACATCCTCCACAAATCTAATGAACAAGCTTCCTTCCAAGGGCAGGATCCAAGTACAGTAAGTCAAAGGCCTAGCTGGAATGGACCCATTGTTTTTTTGAAGAAGACCTGAGTTCACCGGAGCTGCTGCGGGTTTGCTGGGGGGGGACTGTCTGCGCCATACTTGAAGTTCAGAAGATGTTCAAAACAGAGGGGTCATTCAGATGGAACCTTACTTCCTCTCACACGTTGGTGGTGAAGATGACCCAAGATGTGTCAAGAAGGAGAATGTGTCACGATGTGGGATCTCCAATTGATCTGAAAGAAAACACGGAAAACACAGTGGCAGTGTTTGAAGATGTTTGAAGCCTTTCTGCTTAACTCTGATATTTTTTGTCAGTTCAAGCATCCAAATTCCAAGTCATTTGCAAGCCATCCCGTGCTCTCGCTTGCTATGCGCTGCCTCCTTCTACCTGTGCTGTGCTATTCAGAGGATCAATGAACCAGTGTCTTGTGATTCCATCCCATAGAATCATTCCTTCGCCAACTGGTGTTCGGTGGCTTTGACCCGAAGGCCTCAAGGGCCACACAAAAGAGCCAAGAAAAGCACATGCCTTGACCGATGCTCAAATGATGGAAGAGAATATGAGCTGATCTTCAACCGCGAGGATGTCTTCCTTGTGTGGGTCCCAGTGTTATTTCATCTCTTTCGGACTCACATGAACACGATGCGGCAAGCCTGGAGCGAGTCGAGAACCCAAAAACCCAGCTACTGCTCGTCAGCCAGAAAAACATTGATTTGTGCCAAACATTCTTATTAAGATCTTACAAGGGACCCCCAAGAAAAAAGCATGATTTTTCAGAGCAAATATGGACATATGGCTCGGTCTTGGTGGCCATCGTTTCAGTCAGGCACAGAAATCAATTTGTCTCAGCTTTGGCGCCAATCACTACTGGTTCGTCGAGCGGAGCGGATGGATGAAAATCACTTCCTACTGCATTACCCATGACATCGCGTGACTAATTTCCAAATGTCACTAATCCCAACATGTGTAGAAGTGCGAGTTTTGCAAGAAAGAAGTGTGTGGGAAGTTGGATCATTGCTCGCTATAATTGAGGAGAATCCCAAACGGAAAACAACACCCCAACCATGTTTCATACCTCTTTTGGCTGCTCAAACAGTTTCAAACAAACATGGATTTAATTTAAACACCACAAATTCTTGGTTTGTGCTCTCTCACTTGCTCTCTATAGATGTGGAACCGCGAAACTTCTTCCCTCCTGCGTTGAACGATGAATGAACCAAAACCAGGCCTCTCCCCGGTAGCTGCTCCGAGCGCTGTTGGGGGACGCAAGGCCTCGTGGTCGACGAGACTCTGAATTGGCAGGGAAAAGAGGGGTCCATTTTGTGGCCACATTCCAGAGCTTACCAGATTTGGACCTAGAATCCCTTGGTCACCCAGTTCTTGGAATTGATTTCTTGCTAGAGCTCTCCCCGATCTGCCCATCCACATGAAGGACGGTCATGGCGAAGTTTTGAGGAAACCCATGTGTATCTTCAAATCACCGGAAATATCAACTTGTCCAACCTCGTCCATGTGTAGTAAGCCACGTGTCTACTCACACTTGTGAAAGTCTCTTCTTTGGAACTCTTCGTCGAGTCTACATTCATTCTGCCCGGGACAACTTCAGGCTTGGAATTGAATGTCCTCTGTCTTTTGTTGGAATTGAATGTCCTCTGTCTTTTGTTCACCAAGTGATTCAAGTGCTTATCAACGTTCTTGAGTCATACCAAGTGCCCAGCCATGACAATGCTATCTGATATTTGCTTGAAACAAAGACTGGCATAGGAAAGACATGGAAAGGCTATGGGTCTATATTATAGGGGAGCCCCTAGGCAGTTGGTTTCGGTCTATTTTTGGCAGGTCTCCCCATTTTAATATACCGATCAATCTGACTTGCCAAGGCCTCAAGTCACCCGGGCCCATCCGTCATGTGATGCGCACGCAGCAGCTGGCAGTTGGGCAGTTGGCTTAAGTGGAGCTTCTGCAGCCACAGCCAAGTGCTCCAGCTCACCTATTCATTCATTCATTCGTTCATTTCATTTCATGTCATGTCATTTCATTCATTCAGGCTCCACACAAGCAGAACCTATGAGGTCGAGAATCACGTTCCAGAGTTCCTGTCAGTTCCTGCAGCGTGACGGGGACACAATCATTGTCAATGAGGATTCCATGCGGATTGGGAAACAAACATCGAAGCTATCCAAGACAAAGGTGCCTGACCTGACCTGAGTGTGAAACCGGGCATCATGTATGGACTCTGCAAGAGGATTCTCCCACCGCCACAATACTTGTCGCTCTTCATTGCCGAGCTGCAATGCAAGTCAAGTGACTAACCCATTCAACTTCAATGTTGGCCTGGCCTTCCTGGTGCTATTTTCAGCAATGTGGTTGCCTTACCTGTGTAGATCCAGCAAAGGTAAAGCTGCCTGCGTGGACCATCATGTGAACCCGGCCGGACAGGCCATTTCTACCGCCTCAAAGTGAGAAAGGATCAGACCCTTGGTCATGCCACTCTTGCTGGCCGCCATGGACCGCTTGGACGTGCTCCTTTGTTGCGCCTTTGTCGCGGCTGGAGTCGGAGTTGCCTTGTTCTGTTCCAATTATCTTTATCATCTTAGTCTTCTTCCCACTGGTGACCACCGCCATGGCCACCACTGTGGCAGCCACTTCCATCAGAACGCTTCCGACGAAGTCGCCACAAAAAAAGGCATCACGGCCATCCACTCATTGTTGCCGCCTGTTGTGCCCTGCATTCTGATTGGACCACACTTGGCAACCTGTCCAAGCTGATCAGGGTGCATGGATGATCCATTTCGGCTGCTCCTATCTTCTCCTTGGGTGAGTTGGTGGGGCAAGCCCTGAACTCCAGCAATCAACAACCACCTCGGTCGGAGAGAGGCCTTCCCAAGCGGCCTGGAAGAAGGGAAAAATCAACTGGTTGGGCGTTACATGAATCTGCTAAACCTCATCCTTGAGCTTTGCACACGGCATTCTTGACACCTCCTTCCATACTCCTGATGCTTCTTCAATATGCTAACAGTGCCAAAGGCTAAGTGTAGCACCACAAGCATCATCAATAATGAAAAAACTGAACATGTATCACCATAACACAGAAGCGCAAGACTTTCCATATCTCACTAAGATTGAAATTGACACCACTTCCACTGTTTTATGCTCTTGGATTTTGATGTTCACCATCAACTGTTTGTGTTCCATGTTCCACCAGGCCCAAACTGATCTACAGCCCCTTCAAAAGCACCTTTTCGGGCAAACCCCTACAAAAAACCACCATCATTGGAAATTGACCCCAGAGCCTTGAGGAGTGCACAGTTTGGGACTAACATAGGGAGACCTCCCAGTTTTACCTGGAAGGTAAATTGGACCAGTCACCCTGTTACACCCATATTTCCGCTCCAACCAGGCTCCCGACTGGGCGGCGTAGGCCGCGCTGCCTCAGGTGCCTTCAAACCATCGGCTGCAGGCAGGGTTTATTGGCATAACGACTTGTGATATTCAACTGCGCGTGCACCCAGTGCACGAGTGTTGAGTTCTTTCTTTTCCTGGTACTGTCTCTTCATCCTTCAAGCTAATCAAAACCACACACCTTCACTCCCTATGGATCCACACCACGCCCCTTTTGACCCTTTTGTGTAGGCTCTCGGGGAGACTCAAACTGATGGGCAGTCTCACACCACGCTCTCCGACCGCTCCGACCCGGGATTGTTTCCCGCTCTCCGCGGAAGGTGCGGCCTGCGGGGAAAAGTCCGGTGGCAAACTGCGCCCGCGGGAAGCACGCGAGTCGCCTGGAGCACCGAAGTGGAACTGGTGGAGCTGGAGTGAGGAGAGGGGGGCTCTTCAGCGACTTTGGCATGGTCAAAGGAGTCTTCTTTTGTCCGGATTCTTTTTTGGGGGGCGTTCTGCCAAAATGACACGGAGTGACAAGTTCACCCAAAAGGGGTGGTCCAATTTCTATGAACTCCATGATCACCGGTCGCACGACCTGCCAACCGTTACATGGATTTGACCAGTGAGAACAGTTCGATGCAGTTTGGGCCAATCCACTTCGGTCCGCCATGCCGCACGCGTTCCGCACTATGAGACGGCTCAGCCAGCTTGCTGTTTGGGCGGCCATTCCAGTTCGGGCTGCCACATTCACAACATGTTAAAAGGACACCGTTCTCTGCAGTTTGGGTCCGCCAGTTTGGGCCATTACAGGAATCCTCTGCAGCTTGGGCCCAGCCAATTTGGGCATTTTGAGCTAGCCAACAAACAGCCAGCACACTCATCCCAGTCAGAATCTGCGCATTGCGCATAAACCAGAGCTCTTGGGGCCAACCCACTTTAGGAACACCATTCAGGCAAGTGCTTGATGGACGCATTCGGTGAGCTGCCGCGCTTGGTATGAGCCTCCTAGCAAACCCTACACTTTCTCACCACTTTCGGAGCAACCATTTAGAACTGGCCATTGTGGCCAAGCAGTTTGGGCCAATGGAACCAAGCCCTTCATGACCTTGCCACCCGCACTCTGGCTGGGATGAGTATGCTGGCTGTTGGCCGGCCCAAAGTGCAGCTGAGCCGAAGCTGCAGAGACTTGTTTCCCTTAGCATTTTGTGAGTGTGGCAGCCCGAACTGGAATGGCCCAAACTGCCTGAGCCCAACTGCAGCTACAAGCGTAGAAATTGCATAGCCGAAGGGAACCTTCGCAGTCGAACATGTGAGGACTAGTCGGGGT